CCCCAAAACCCCAAAACCCCAAAACCCCCTAAAACCTTAAAAACTAATATTTCGTCTAAATATGGAACCCTCACAGAAACAACATATGCTTGTCCAAGTAGCTGCTCAAGATAGAAAGATGGCCAAGCAAGAGAAAGAATGCAAGAAAGTGGTAATGGATGGCATCAGGGATTTTTGTAGTAAAGGGATTACTAGAAGGGAATTGAAAAGGATTTGTCGAGAAGTGGAGGGGTTTAGAGTTTATGTAGGTCCAGAGTCTGATTTTTTAGTTTGGAATGAAGGTTTTGGAAGAGAAGGGGGTGAATGTTGGGTGTTCTTTTGGACATATTGATAGATATCCAATGGATTTGTATTCAATTAAAAAATGAATGCAAAAGAAGTTTCTTATAAATTTTCTAAAAGAAATATTGATACTCTAAATCTGAAGTATCAGCCAATCAAATCAAAGATTAATTTGCAAGAATTCATGCCTGTTTTGAGCAAAGTTTTCTTGAAAATAAGCCAAGAGCTTTGAATATAAAGTTTATATTCCTAAATTATTTTAACCCCCATATAACAGGATTTATTCTTTCATACGCCATTTGACTCATTTATTATTAAACTCTGCCACTTATCCAAAGCTGAAATTTGTCTCTTGTATTTTCTGATGTAAAAATTCAGATTATCCAGCTCCAAAATTTTACCCCAAGCCTGTGCTCAAAGATCTAGCTCTTCTTGAGTGAAATGACTCTTCTGGTGAGAAGGTTGGATCGGAGTCAGCTTTTGAGGTAAAAAAGGGGCAGAGAGATACTTAAAATATTTTGGAGTGCAAGATTAGTAGTTTAGATCATTACTATTAATCTAATACTGCCGAACTTAGTTATGAAGAGGGTGAATGCGCAGTCTTCGCTTGTAGCAGTGTAGATCAACAAGGAGAGACACTCCTTTGAGGGTAAATGCTTCCTCCGGTTTTGCCACTAGCACAGCAGAACTTGACCGGAGGCAAGATTTACCAGACTGCTGAAATGGAGCTGGGGCTCAGAATGAGCTCCATTTCTACAGGAACAAATTTTGAGCCCCAGCTCCTTCCTTCCTCCAGAATTCCTATAAACCCAGTCCCACACCTCCGTCCCTTTCCACCCCCTCCTTCCCCTCCTCCCCAAATTTTAAATATTAATTCATTATTAATACTCATTTGGGGTTTTGGGGTTTTGGGGTTTTGGGG